CGAGCTAGGCGTACATCGCTTCACTCTTTGATCTCTTCTGTGTCCCCTTCGATCGTCTGTTTGAGCAAGACCAAGCTCGCGGTAGTCGACTTGTCCATTGTCACGGATACCCTCGGGCCACTCTTTGATCGTTTCTTCTTCCTTCCGTCGTCCGGGACACGCGACGGAATTCTCATGGCCTGGCGAAGCTGCGACATCACTCTCTCTCGGCCGGATGTTGGTGCCTACCACATCTCGGCCCTTTCTACCCCTCACATCGACGGTCAGCAATACTGGTGGATTACTGCTGTCTACGGACCACAGGAGGATGACGCAAAGGTGGCCTTTCTCGCGGATCTGCAAGATTTTCGCCTCACCTGCGCGGGCCCCTGGATTGTGGGAGGTGAATTCAACATGATCCTCTCCTCGGCCAACAAGAATAATGGGCACCTTCACCATCGGGCTATGAGCCGCTTCCACCGCTTTTTCGCCGATCTCGAGCTGCACGATATCTACATGCACGGGCGCAGGTTCACTTGGTCCAATGAGCAGCAAGACCCTACCCTCGTCCGTAATGATCGTGTGCTCTGCACGCCGAGCTGGGAGGATTGCCAACCGAATTGCCTCCTGCACTGCCTCGCTTCGGCCACCTCTGACCATGCACCACCGCTTCTTGACTGCTCATCGCGCTCCAGCAACCCCAAGAGATTCCACTTCGAGCGCTTCTAGATCAAGCTTCAGGGCTTCCATGACGTGGTTGTTCCCGCTTGGGGCTATGAGCCACCGGACCCTGACCCCTTCCACCGCCTTTTCCAGCGTCTCAAGTTCACTGCTCACCGGCTCCAGAGCTGGAGCGCTCGTTGCATTGGGCACGTCTCCCTCCAGTTGATGGTCGTCCGTGAGCTCATTGCTCGCCTAGACGAGGCGCAAGATCGGCGCCCGCTCTCCCAGCTCGAAGCTTGGCTTCGTAAAAACCTGAAGTTGAAGTATTTGGGGCTCGCATCTCTCGAGCGCTCCATCGCCCGGCAGTGCATGCGCCTA